GGGGCCGGTGCTCTGCTCGCCGAGAACGCAAACGGAGCTCCCTCCGGGATGCTTCTGTCCGCGGAGGAACGCGTTTCTGTTCGTGCTTGAGCGTCGCGCTGGGTCTCAGCTCCCTGTCTGCAGCTCGCTGGCGCGATGGGAGCCCAACCGGTGGCTCCGGGTCCTGCGCATTTGCTTTGTTCTCCCTTTTCTTTTGACTAAAAGAATCGTCTGTAAGGTAACGTGATCTCGCTGGAGTGGTCTGACGTCTGCCGGAGCCTGTATAACAACTGCTAACATGGGTGGAAGTTTGAGCTCATTCATGTCACTCTCCTTCTCCAGACAATCGTGATGAACGACTGCATCATCCGCGGGGACCTGGCGAACGTGCGGGTTGGCCGGCACTGCGTGGTGAAAAGCCGCAGTGTCATCAGACCACCCTTCAAGAAGTTCAGCAAAGGGTAAGGAGTCCCCTCGCTGAGGGAGACTGCAGTTAACATCTGTCTGCCTGCAAAGAGACGTTGGCTTGGCTGAGGTCTGAGATCAAAGGGTCGTGTATTTGCAGAAATACCTCCCTCCAAACCTGCCTTTCCCTCAGACCTTTAGCTTTGCCCTGAGGGTCAGCGTTCCCTTCAGGCCATCACATGGAAAGGCTGGGGTCTGTTAAAATAGTGAAGGGGAGAACGTGTTTCCTCAGCTCGTTTTTTAGTCACAGCATCTTCCTGTCGCTCATTCGGGCCATCCCGTAGAGGTGAGAAAGACCCGTGACTGTTCTGCTTCCTTAGCATCAGATCTGCCCCTGGTACCTGGCTGGGGACGGGTGACCCTGCAGTGCAATTCCGGGTCTAGCCGTGTCGCGGATCGGTCTGTCTGTTGTCTCTCCTGTCACAGGGTGGCCTTTTTCCCTCTCCACATCGGCGATCACGTCTTCATAGAAGAGGACTGCGTGGTCAACGCCGCCCAGATCGGCTCCTATGTCCACATAGGCAAGAACTGCGTCATTGTGAGTGCTGCCTCTCGGGCTCCTCGTTCACCTCCCGAGCGCTGCCGAGGCTTTGTGACCGCAGCGGGGAGGTGCCTGCGCCGGCTGGCTGGAGCAAGCGCGCTTTCTCAGGGCCGTTCCCTTCTCCTCCTCTTCCTCCGCCACAGAAAGCTTTGGCTTTTCTGAGGGTGGTGGGTTCAGCTGAGCCCTGGTTGCAAAATCTGTCCCAGCACTGTGGTCCCTGTGGCTGACAGGGCTGCCCGGGGAGGGCAGCCTTTCCGCAGGGTACAGGGGGAGCCGTGTTTCTGCGCAAATAACACAAAATAAGCAAGGGTGCTCTCGGCTGAGGCCTTGCTGCGTTACGGCACGACTCGGGTTTTAGGCGCTGCTTTGCATGTCGACACGTGTTGGTGTGCCCTGCCTGTACGTGTGTTAGTCGAGAGCAAACGGATGTTTTCCCTCAAAAAAGAAAAGAAGTGAATTCTGTTGGGATGAGCGTTCAGTCGGGGCCAAGGTTTATTCCTGCGATCTCTTACGCAGCACGTGTTTGAGCAGTTAAACTTGTTGCACTTTAGGTCGCTACGCAGTAATAAGCAACAGCACACGGTGTTTTAAGTCTAACCTTTTCCTAATCTCTGTTTTAGGGTCGTAGATGCGTTTTGAAGGACTGCTGCAAAATCTTGGACAACACAGTACTACCTCCTGAAACAGTAGTCCCGCCTTTCACAGTCTTCTCGGGCTGCCCAGGTACGCTCCCTCGAACTGTACGTGCCCAGAAGTGAGGGTAATGTGGATATTCTTGCTTAGAAGTGAGGTTGCTGTGACAAAGTTGCCCATTAGCATTTAGTGCCTAAAAATGAAGGGGTAGGGCACTCGGTGGGCTGGAAAGTAACAGTTTTACCTTGTGAAGCCCATGGCGTTAGTGTCCTTGGGGCAGGTGGCACATGTTTCCTCAGAACAGTATTTCTGGGGTGTCCATCCTGTACAGTAGCAGAGCTTTTCAGGCCCCTGGAACCCAACAGGCGTTGGGCTCTGGCAGCGGGAGCCCTCCTCTCCTCCTCCTGGAGTGTCTCAGTGGCTCAGGCTGCCGGCACTCCGCTTGCCCGTTGTTCAGCCGTTAACGGGAGGTGGGTTCCTCAGAGTGAGGTGTAGGAGCGTTCAGTCCCTGCCCGTGGGCCGGGCTGTGCTGAAGAAGGCGTTGTGCACGCTGCACGCTCTGTCCTTTGCCCTCTGGGGGTGTCTCACGGGGAGCAGCGGAAGCTGCTGCAGACCCGGCCGCCTGCCCCGGGGCTGCGATGGGATCGATGCCTCCGAGCTGCTGGATGCGAGAGGAGAGCCCGTGGCTGTTCTGTCCGTGTGCACCCACCATTCCATCAAAGTCACTGCTTGGAATGTTGAGTGTCAGTTATTTCTGCTTTCCCCTGCAAGGGCACTGACGGCCACACTCTCTTGTTCTTCCAGGACTCTTCTCTGGGGAACTCCCAGAATGTACCCAGGAGCTCATGATCGACGTCACAAAGAGCTATTACCAGAAGTTCTTGCCGCTCACTCAGGTCTAGTAGCCCATTTACCGTGTTTCAGAGCCGTCAAGGCACGCAGGAGTTCTCGGGGCGGGGAGAGGGATGTTGTTCGGTGAGACCAGGGCACGGCCCTGCGCTGCCCCCGAGCGTTCCTCCGCGCTGACGGTCTGGCCAAGCAGTCCCTCGTGAACGCTGCTGCGTCCTGTTAAACTTTGTGTGTTCATCTGAGTGTAGCTCATTCCATGTCGTCCAAGTCGTGCCATTAAATGTTCTGGAGCTGGGAAAGCTGGTACAAATCCCTTCAGGGCGGCACCTCCGCCCGGCAGCCGGGGAGCGAGGCTGAGTTGACAGCACGTGCTCCGCAGCCTCAGCCTGTCTCTCCTGTCAGCTCTGCTCCTGCCCCCCAGCAAGGGGGTTTGCGTTTGCTAGAAGCAGATCCCCCTCCTAGAGCAGAAGCGCTGTGTGCTGCAGTGTGTGTCACGGGCAGTGACGTCCCGGGCTTCCTTAGACCCGCTGCTTTCCTTTGGAAAACGTTCGCTGCCCTGTAGGGCGGCGTGTCGAGGTGGGTGGGCTCTTCCTTTCCTCCCTGCGGGCTGAGATTGTCTCCTGTAGCGACAGGATATCGCTCATCATCCAGGGACTGGCTTTAGGACTTGTGGCTGACATTGAAACCCGTCTTTCTCTGCCTTGCCTGGGAGGACACGTAGCTTGTGGCTCCCGCAGCAGCCCTCAGCCCTGTGCTCTCACGCAGGGTCAGCGTTCTCGTGGCCAAGGCGGGTTCTGCTTCCTGAACATCGCAGACCTTAAAGAGCCAAAGGGCTTTGGGAAGGGGATTGCTGTGTCACTGACAGGATTCAGTGCAGCACAAAGTGGGTATTTAAAGGGAGAAAACCGGAGGTGGGTGAGGGAATGCTGCGATTGTCCCCGTTTATTACTCAGTATGTGTATTTGCAGAAAGCTCTTTGGTGCTTCCTGCATAATAAAACT